GGGTGGGATGCGTCATAAATGTGCATGCGGAAATGTTAAATTTTCAGGATATGGTGCAGGGCATATCCCTAATTCATAAATTCATAGAAATTAGAAAAAAAACACGTTCAAATTACCAAGGCCAAATTTTTAAACAGTGCTTTAAACAAGCAAACGTTTCGTGTCTCTTGTTTCCTCTTGTGGTATAGAGCGTTAACAGTAGGCGAAAACACTAATAAACTTTTAAGTCAACAACTTTGAACCCATGTGAAAATGAAAGCAAGCTGAAGTAATGCCAAACTATGTAAGATCAATCTATTTTGAGTGGAGAAATCAGTTTGGGGGAGGGGGGGGGGTTATAAGCAATAATTTGTCAGTAAAAGCGGCGTCAATTCTGCTATCCTACTGTTTCACACACCTTCCTTTAAAGTATACCTCAGCTTAGATTCGTAAGGCACAGATTACTTGCACGCTCTGTCTCCTAGCTTTGTCCCAAATGTCAATTTCGCATGGGTGAGCAAATACTTGCCCACCAACTCGGTACTGATGCTTTGTTTTCTCATCCACTTAACTCGTGGACTTTTCACTCAGGAGAGGCTGCTGATTCGAGTAGTCTTAAGATCATTTACTTTATAAGGGAATTTCTAATCTGACTCAATTCGAATTTCAAGGTAGCTTCCAAATGGATTAGAGCTACTTTCAAGCACATTCAAGCACTCACATAGCATGCCTCCTAGAAATATAGGGACCATAATGAATGGTTCCTTCCTTCATCAATAATTAAGTCCGTCCTCCCTTCGTGGAAACGGTTATTAACCTAGCACTAGAACCGAAACGGTTATTAAAAATAAGTAATAATCGACTTTATCTTCGTATATGTCAGTTATTCGTCTTCATGCAGTCTTGGTTGCCTGAAGGTTATAATTTTTTAAATTCCACTCATCGATTTTAACATACATTTACACTATATGCATCATGCATGACTATGTTGAAAATTTCTACTAATAATTTCAAGTGGGTTATACATTCACCTCTTGCGTCCGGTTCAATTCCTAGGATTCAATACTTTTCATCGGGTATACATGTCCCATTCAAATTATGTCAATAGAGTTTGATTGGAATAAGCGTTAAAACAACGAATAATAGGCAGAAATTCTAATTCAAGCAATCCAAGTTTCCTTCACTTCTCTTTCTTAAGAAAGAATCGCGATTGGGGACTTTCTGATTTTAGACTATCCTAAATGAATGCTGTTATGATTACCTGAAATCCAAATTCAAGTAAAACAGAGGCACATGAAATATTAATGTTGGTCATCTGGGCACATGAGTATATTAAATGATTTCACAAGAGATTAAGAAATGTGTTCAAAATAGACAAGAGCCCGTGTTTACATAAGTATTACTGATATGACAAACACCAAAAAAAGCTCGCGCTTAAGCCAGATGGTCCGTCAAGATCAACGAAATGCTTAAATCTAGTGAGAGGCGTGGGCGTCCAAAAGAATCGAAAGAAAAGAGGACAAATGCCACAATTAGAATACAACAATTAGATATTCAAAAGCCTTCTTTAACACCAGACCACAACAGCAAGGCTTACTGGGATCTAGACAAGCTGTGCCAAAGTCAGCGCCTGAATTAACACAAAATGCACAAAGAAGACGCAAAATTAAAACAAACAAACATGCAGTTTCTGCGCACGTGCATCATTAACCATATCTACTCATCGTTTAGATATTTACCACATTCGAGTTCTGAGACCACCGGATATTCACCTTTATAATAGTTTTCATAAAGTTCAGTTATTTGGAATAGAATTATCCCTAATTTTATTAAGTGTAAATTTTAATTAATTCGATTAAAGTATAAAAAATCACAACCAACTTACCATTCGAAAATGATCAAAATTGACAACATGCAAATCGTATGTTTAAACTAAGCTAATTTTAATATGAAATGTTCTTGATCGTAAAATCTTATAATTTTGGCAGAAAATAAAGCTGTGCGATCAAGTCTTAAGCAATACGGCGGATTTAAAGTGTGCACATATATATTAAAGTATCCAATCAAATCCAGAATAATGTTTTAATAGGGTACATAGCAGCAGTTAGTGAGATAGCCACCGCAAATTAAAACAAGGGTGCTGCTATTTAACACTTGTTACCTGTACTGCTGAATTCGGGATTTATCGGATAATCTATATATTCACAAAGAATTGGTACAAAAATATGAAAAAAACTGTTAAAGCCATGCAAAATCATCCCCTAGTGTCTATGTGATATAAACTATCATCTCTTATTCTGATTTTAAATGCTATGCAACCGGTGCATGTCGAATTATGAGAGTGAATAAATGAAAAAAAACACAAACCTTCAGAGCCTAGCATAGTGGCTTTAACGGTTGAGAGAATCTTCAACTGATTGCCAATCATTTGGATGCGTTCACTCAACTGGAATAAGCTCTAAACACAGAAAATAAAATGAACTAATAGCTGATTAGCCTGAAAATAGCATTTTTTATAAGAAGTTAAGCCTATTTTACCGTCTTCATTCGTCGGTCGGTACATTCTTTACCAAGAGCACGAGCACAACTGGTGACATCTTTTGAGGCTTCAGCAATTGCCATGGAAACATTGATCAGATCCTTCTTGTTACCATATTCGCCACTAGTGGATAAATAAAAATTAATTGAATCTTGAATGAAGATTTGATCATGGGGATATAGAAAGGCACCAAAAATACAGTTCAAAGAAAAATGACAGCAGTGACATTGGCCAGAAGAATTTGAGAATTGTAATTTGTTGAATAAAATTATCTTAAATTAAGAAAAAAACGTGAAACGAATACAAGACAATAGATTGAGAAGATATCGGAAAATTTGACGATATTAAGTGAAGAAAATGTTAACGTTTTAGGAGTGGATGAGAAAAAATTCGAAGGACCATTAGACTGATGCTATTTAAAGTACAACATTTTCAGTTAACGAGCTGAACTTGACAGAGAACAAAGTTTGCTTCTAGACCAATTCCATTCAGTGTCCTCATGGATGAGAGTTAAATTTATGCTTTCAATAGTTCAGTTATTTTCGGAGAACCAGACTTGTGATGCATCGAATAAAATATTATTTATTTATTTATTTTCCGTCTGTCGAGCGGGGCACCCATCTTGAATTTAGATTTAATACACCAAAAGGAGAGTTTGGTACATACCTATGCCAAGTTTAAAAGCATCTTCAAGGGGTAACGCAAAATATTAATAATAACTGGAATGTCGCTACAAGTCGTATTGCAAACTTTAAAATGAAAGCGTTTTCCAACGACAATATGGCGTAGGTGCTTCTCCGGTGATAGGTTCGGATTCTGCAATCAGACTTAGTCAATTTGCTTGGCTATTTCGAAGTCGGAATCGAACTCTCAATCTTATGATCAGCGCATTTTTGGATGAACTTAAATTTTCTTGCCACCTATTGACCCAGCAGAACTCTTATAGCATACCCAATTCCAATTATTCTATCAGAGTGCTTTTCAATTATCTCCGATTGCCTAATATTGGACATTTTGATGTAAAACGAGCCTTATCTCCTCTCCTTTATCCCTTGCTAACACCAGTTTTCACATTATGATCCGTGACTTCTCACCCTCCATTTATGATGACGTTCTAAGATGCTGAAATGTCAATAACTAGGCTAGTTTCCTGCCTTTATGACCCTGCACTGAAATTCAGTAAAAGGTGAATATCGCAAAAGTGAACTCACTCAAAACCTTGTGGACAAAATTTGATTTTTAAAATTTCGCAATAATGGCAAATGGAGCAGTGGGTTATGTCCATAAGAATAAATTAGATGGTTTACGAGTTTTAAATATCCCATCATCATTTTCAGTGTCCGCTCAATATCTACAGTCTTTGCTTTCTCTGTACATACCAGTAACAATACTGCAAATCCGACGGAGAATATAGATTTAAAATTGCCTTTTAATCACACTATATCTAGGAATAAAGGAAGATACAAGGTTCTTATTTCGAGAGGCGTCTCGTGTTTGCCGAACAGAGAGCGCTGGAAAAGTAGGTGTGTAAATTTTTCCTTAGCCTTAAGTAAAGCGTAAGACGATAATTTTAAGTAAATTTTTAATGAAGTTAGAGTAAAGTTAATCTATCAAGCAAAGAATTTTTATTCTTAGTTTTTTATAGGGCATAACTTATAGCAATTTGAGCAATCAGTGATTGCACGCGAATATTTAAATAATTAATTATTTATTTCTTTTTAAGTGACAATGGGGGAGGAGTGAGTGAGGAAGAGGGAACTCACCGAACTATTTGACTGAGTTTGGCCATAAGAGCGGCAATTCGTTTGGTAGCGGCTATCAACTCATTGTCTCGACTTGACCAAAGACGAGCTTCTTGGTGGAGGGCATGAGCTGCTGCCTAGATAAACGACGAGAGAGAGAGAGAGGGGAGGGAATTAAATTATCAAAAGATATACTGTCAAATTCCATCGACGGCATTAGTAGAATTGATCACCACGATATTAAATCCACAAAGGGTGTAAAAACAACTATGTTTAAAGTTCTAAAATTCGAGGAAACACCCCAAAGGAAAAAGAATAGGCTTTCTCCTCAACCATGTTTAGTCCGTTGAGGTGTGTTAGCGCTCTAATCTTTACATTACTTTCAAACTTTTTATGCTAAAAATCACCCCACACATGACCTTTAAAGGTAAAATTACTCCGTCATCTTCATTGATGCCCTTCTTATTCTCTTACTGAAATGATTAAGTGATTGCAGAAATAGACAATAGTTGAACCAACAAAAACTTATTGATAAGGTTCATGAGGCTAAATTAAAGTACAATTTCACTAGGTTAATTTTTCGATTGAAAGGATGTCAGATTTCGTGTAGCCCCCCCCCCCCCACCCTCACTCCTATACTTCGAGGTTTTACGTGTTCTAGTTCAATGAACCTGATTTGTTTTGTACCTCTAGCGGCTTGGCAGAGCATGACTGAGAAATGGGGCAGATCGCTGAAATTTATGTTTACTACAGCTTTTCAATCAGCGATCAAATCAAATAAGAGTGGTCAGGGTTAGACTTAAAAAAAGAATTCATCCACAAATAATTTGAATAACGCTTCAACGAATAGAGTCCTTTAACCAGGTCTTTAACTTCATAGGTTGATGGGTAAATTGCATTGGAGACAAATCTTTACAGCGAATCGACAACAATCAACACTTGTAAGCCAATCTTCTTTGGTTATTCGTTGCCCGGTCAAATCGACTTTAATGGTATAATAATTTACACATTAAACCAGTAAAGGCGTGAACTGGCCTGGACCCGAATGAAGTAGCAAATGTGTGAAAGTGTAAATTTGGACATGCGTCCCATATTTAACTTAGAAGCCTACATACATTTTTTCGGCAGTCCAGACGCCCACACATTTGAATCATCATCATCATCACCATCATCATCATTCACTATGACTGCAACCAACTGACTTTGCTTTATGATTTAAATACTGCATTAGTATCCTAGTATTGTTGTTTAAACGAGTGAAGCAAAACCAACCTGTTGAAGGATGCTTGCTTAATAATTTAAAATCAACAATAAATTAAAATTTTATATATTGAAATTAGGCAAACTTCAAGACTTATCCAGTTTAAAAAAATAAGAGCTCTCAAGATACACTTTAGAAAATAGTTGCACTCAAAAACGTTCAAAATCTATCTTTTAGAATTTTTTAAATACCATTAAGTAATGAAAAACTTTTTTGTTTCATTAAACGTTCCCCCAAAATCTTCATTTTAGCCAAAGTTCGTACAACCATTCATCAATCTCTACTAGTAGTGGTCCAATATTTTTAACACGAAATTTAGCTTAGATACTAACCCGAAAAGGTAAGGCATTCCCAACTCTCTCCCCCCCCTCTCTCTCCTCATAAGGAAAGATATACAATTTTTTCGTGATCAATGGTCTGTTATTTCACCATTGCAAATACCCATATCAATCACTGCTGTTTGCTGGGAAGTCGCGGACCTGTGCTATTGGATGAGTCATAAATACTAGCGTTGGAGATAAACAACAGTGCAGTTGTTTTAATTAAAGGAAAACTTTCCATCTTTACGCGTTCTTGGAACATAGGCACAAATTCAATCCTTACTACCTCTATGACGTCTTCAAGGAGAGTCCCTTTAAAACACACAGATCTTAAATCAATAGAATCGGTTCATAAGGTATTGAAGGCTTGGCAGATACACTGTCAACTATTTGATTTTAGAGTTTAATAAAATAAGAATGACAGACGAATAATAGCGATAGATCACTTCTGGAAGCGAAGAATTGGAACCTACAATGCTTGTTAATAAATCCAATCATAATGCAAAAAATAGCAGAACTAACTAGATATTGCTGCGTTCTATGTAGGCTTACAGGTTAAGATAAGACTATTCGAAAGGGGTTTGTATTTTTTCGTAGGGTTGATGCTTTCACAAAAGATTGTGGATTTTGGGAAAAGGTTGTGGGCAAAATATGACTATAGACTTTCACCGGAGAGTTTTGCTGTACTTAAAATTCCTATTCTAATATCATCCAATTGTTCGACCCGGATGTTAAGGCATAAGAAAGTATTAAAACTATGCCATCCACATCTTCTTCTTCTCTCCCCCCCCCCCCCCCCCAACCGGCCCCTCTCAGAAGGACAAAAAAGTACTGAAGTGGTAGGACCGACAATCAAATCGGATATAAAATACTACCATGGGAAAATTATCCAATAAGTTTTCTTGAATTATTTATTCTATTCCCTATGAATACTTTTATAATGAGCATATTTTGCTTATTTAAAGGCCAGAATTAAAATAGGTTTATGTTTAATTTATGTGTGCTCGCTGTTCCCCACTCTTGTACTGTGGGCGGGAATAGTGAGCATTAGAAGGAAACATAGTTTATCCAAGTTAGTCAACCGACCAACGAGTACTAGAAATAGTAGACAAGACTTCGTTCAAACATTGACAGAAAATGGTAGGATTCACAACACCTTTCCTATCTCCCTTCCTTCATCCCTCATTGAATTTTACTATTGTTCAATTGTAATTGATATTCATACCTAATTTAACTTATTTTGTAAAAGAAGAGCAAATAAAACACATCTTACCAGAATTGGTTGATTCTCTTCAGGTAGTGGGTAGTTGAATTCATCTTCAGCATCGGTTTCAGGAGAAAGAGGACGCGAGTTATCATCACTTTGACTGGAGGAAGCACCACCTATTAAAATAAAGTTGATCTCTATTCATTTAAAGACCTACGCACGCACAAAATTGAAAGTCATGCGAACACTGTTTCAAACTGCACACGCTGTTAAGTTCACTAAATAAAAGACAACATCAAAAGGGAGGTGAGAGTAAAACAAGATGATATCTAACATGTGGGCAATTAGATGAAATCAGTCAGAAATGAGATCCTGATGAGAGTATATCCTTTTAGACCATCCTCAATCTCCAATCCATGCAACTTTCATTCTTCGTATTACTAATGAATCATGCAAATACTACTCCGAGCTGGTAACAGACTCAATTCTGGAATAGTCTGACAAAAGCATGCGCTCCCATAAGATACTTCTCCACAGAATTTCTCACTCCATGTTTCCCCATGCAGTAGTACCTTGGTACCGGTCTATCCCGGTTACAGGATAAGGCCTATTTCGGACGGAAATTTTGATGCTACCAGGTATGGAACAGGAGTTCGAGGAAGAGCCTCGTTTTCCGACCCCATTTGTGAAGTTAGAGGAGGAGGAAGATATTGTTGAGGGGTGTGCTGTAAACATAATGTAGTTAGGAGGCATTCCAATTTTTATTCACGTAGGGATTATGCTTAGAAGTATTTGTCAAGAGGATAACCCTTTAACGTCCTTAGGACCGTGCGGTCATCTTTCAAAATAAGCCCCATTGGTACTAGACCCCTAACAGAGAGAGTTATTTCCTTTTGAAACATGTTCAACACATCTATAGTCTACGCCTGATACCAACAAAACTCATCATGTCGATGGCATCAGTCAACTGTGAGGCACGGGTGAGTGCATTAAAAAGAAATTATTCTGGCATTAAAGGGATGAACGAAGTTGAAGACAACCGAGAGAACACAAGGCTTTTAACATAAGACCTCCTACTTCAGTTAGAGGTGCATGAGTCCTGATGGATTAGCTCCAAAAGAGCTTTATGCAATTAACCACAAATATTACAAGTTGAAGTCTTTAATGCAAATAGGTTTTGCATTCAACTGCTTGCATTAACAAAGTTTAAACAGTGCATTTTATATTCCGTGATTGTCGGCTTCCAGTTGTGTTGGCTCACATAATTTCCATCAAATTATTCACAAATGCCAGGGTTTTTCAATTCCGATCGCCATATTGTTGTTCCCAGACTTTAGATGCCATAAATAAAAGGCCAGCGTTTCTATGTTTTGATAACGAAGAATAATAATTCCCCTTTCTGCAATGTTCTCAGATTAATCAAATACCAGCACAACCGACCATTCAAGTCGGAGGGCAAGAAAAATATCGGGAAAACCGTTACGCAAACCAATCACTTCCTAATCATATATTTCTAATGACTCATCGAAAAGCGCAGTTTCTGTGCTGTCGCCGCGAGATAATTCGCACTTCATTATTCCCACATCCCGGTAAATGCAATTAGACCTAATGGAAGCGAATATTGTGCTTCCGACATTCTTGGGGAATTCTTTATACACACACACACACACTGGCTCCAAATGAATGTATACGCAAAAGGAATCTTGCTGTTCTTGAATCGAATGTGCCAATGTAATGTTTGATTGATTGATTGATTTTTTTGCATTTATTCGTGCACCCAAATACGTTCAGTTTTGGATATAGGTGTGACAACATTTCTATGGCTTGCCTTCACTCTCAACCCCTTCAGGCTACACCAAAACACCTCGAATCATATTTAAATTGAATGATGGTAAGATAGTTATTGTTATATTCAATTCAATTCTATCTTTCAGTTGGAGTAGTAGAGTATACGATAATAATCATGCAAAAAGATTTTCTGGCCAGTATAAGTCATGAGTTCTTTCGAAGTACCAAAAAAAGCCATGACAATTGGGTAAGGAAGCGCACACAATCTCATGGTTTAAAAAAGAATCAATCAAGATGGCTTAGGAGGCATTGGTGTAAACAGTGGTGTAACTTCTAATCAGGAGTGGCTGAGAAATAGTAGTGAAGTGTAAGACAACTGATTAAATTAGTCTTAAACGCTTGCAGTAAAAAAGGGGTTAATACTTTTGTACCCATGTAGAGGTCGCCGCATAAAAAGTCTAGTAATCAACAATTATTTTCGGATGCTATAAAAATGGCACAGAGCAAGGAGTGTCTAAGACCGCTACGCTCCGAATTTCATTTGCACTCCCGACAACTAGAAGTGTAATGGCAATCTATTTTTGAAGGTTTGGAGAGGAGGCGGCAGGAGGGAGGGGGGGGGGTTGGTTGGGGGTGAGTGCTAGCGACAGATGAACTTGCTGAATTCCGGGTAGCAGTAAAATGATAGCACATATTCTTCACCCTAAACTAAGTACTGAACGTGAAAAATCTCGCACCTAGTGGACTGAATCTCTAAAATTTCTCCGCAATATATAAATCTAAATATTAGAATATACCCAATAAAACTGACGTTTATCATATGGAAAATCGTGCAAGGTTTCCAAACTCTTTTTCTCCAATGATCCGTAGGAGAAACAGTAAAATTTCACTTTAACATTCACACAATCAGATTGACCACCCACCAAGGAAAGTACCTATTATTCAATAAAAGGTAATTTATAATTTAATACTAGGGTTTTAATGTGACAAAAAGGTGTATGTTGGAACTTAATTGTAAGCATTAAAGAATAAATGCAGACATCAGTGTAGGTGAAAAGGTCAACAATTAAAGGAAATATTTAAGTGTAAGTAGACATTGATGGGAGGGATCGATGGAGCAGTGTAGATGACAATAATTTCCAAAACTTATATTTCTCCCAAAGTATCCATTACCCACAAGAAGCAAATACTTGCAGGAGAATTGAAATGTGGGCAGTTTCTAGTTAAATAAAGCAATCTGATACAAGAACTCCTTTTCGGTCTTAATGGATGGTAACAAAGTAGTTAATTTTTTCGAAAGGAAAGTGGGCAAAATAAGGCCTACCCTTAGGACATATTCAGCAAGTTTTTGTTGTTGAACTATTTTAAGTCTACTTTCCAGTCCTTCAGGAAATGTTAAGTTGGAGGCAATATATATATATATATATATATATATTAAGCTTTTAACTAATGATATAACCATAGGAAGAAAGTGTAAAAGAACTACCAACCAGCTTACATCCCCCCCCCCCCCAACACAAGGATCACTAAAGAATTGAATAGAATTTAGAACTAAGTACACAAGAGAGAATGTTTTTGTAAGCATGATCGAATATTTCAAATGCACTCGAAAGATACACACAACCTTCAGACCTTAGGAGATGGATTAACGCATGTCCACTACAGAATTATTTATATATTTCTTAACCAGGCAGCTAATTTGACGTAAATTCGAAAATAACTTTTACCCGAAGATAACTCTTAAATGTAAGGTTCTTTATTTACGACATTTAAATCCCCCTTTATCATATCATATCCATCCATGTCACATTTATAAATGACGTTTAGCACAAACTGACCCATTGCAATATTTCGGCAGGGTAGTTATGGCCGTTTTATAATGCGGTGTTATTGAATTACATTCGAAAAAATGGTACATTTTCTTAGGATAAGATCATAACACCACCAATAATCACATATCTTTTCACACATAGGCAACATAATTTTTTTAATATTGACCGCCGATTGAACGCCAGGTCTTCTTCCTTATTATGCTACGGATATGGTCATTTAAAACTCTAGACAACTGAACGTTTCAATAATAATGTGGAAAGTGAAATAAAATCAGGCGAAGTTAATGGCATAAAACTGGCCATAATTCGATCGATTAAGCGCCATAATTAAAGAATTAGACGATAAATAGTACCTACGAGGTAGAAAGATGGACTAATTAGCAGCGGTGAATGTAATTAAGGTTGATTGAATTGTTTGCAACAAAGACGATGAGCGAAGGGAGACTTTATACTCTGCATGTAAAACATGCAGTATGGAAATAGAACTACCATAAAAGTGGTAATTATTATTTACAAGGCAGATGGGAATGCGGATTTATATGGAAATAAATATTTGGCACAAAAGCCAATCAAATAATTTCGGGACATTAAATATGAAAAGTATGAAACTACGAAATATATATTTAACCTTGAATGTATAGCTGCCGCATTTCCATCACAGGAACATCAGTAACCACTGCTGCGGGTGATGTCTTATTGTTCACGTGGTTTCTATTATTGTTTTTATGACGGAAGGTTGGAGCCACTGGTGTTGGATGGAGGAAAGTTGGTGAAACTACTTTCTCCACACTGGCCACAGCGTCAACCAAGTTCTTTGAGGATGCGCGCCAACGTTCACGAGCATTCGGGTCATCCATCGAGAGAACCATATTTTTGGCGTCAGCTACCATCGGAGTGATTGCTAAAAATGCGAAAGAAGTTAAAGTAGTAGTCATTAGAATTAGGATTGATTTTGCCATCCAATCTTACTATTTTAATATATAACAAAGTGGCATCTAACAATTCTGTTGAAAAATCTCAGCGAAAGGAGCAAAAATAGTTTAACTTACTGGATCTTAGTCGCTGAACGGCCTCATTGACGCGATCTACGTAAACGGGATCTTCGCTGTTTTCCGTTTCTCGCATAGCTACTTGGAGCACCCGGTTGGCTCTCAGAGCAATGCTTGTAGTACCGTTAACAACGGAGGTGGGACAGTGTTGATCCACACTGTCCTCAATCTGATCGGTGTCTCTCAGAATACCTCTTTCTAAAATAGACAAAATATACAGTTAAAACAAGGGCTACGTCTGGTGAACGTTTACATTGAGAAGCTAAACGTCGATTGTATAGCGAAATACAAGCCTGCAACGTCAGAGCTCATGGATTCACTACTATTTAATAATCAACGTAACAGTCTGCAAAGTTAGAAGGACCAATCTCTAAATGGAGAGTCCTCAGGTAACTACCATTGAAGACAATAGTAGGAAAGAGCCTTCCTTCAATTCGTCTTGGGTTAATCCATATATCACATGCTAGGTTATTACTAATATTTAAAGCTTGGATGACAAAATTACAGGGCTTTACTCTGCGTCCTCAATTTAAGACACAATAAATTTCTTACAAATTCTCATCACCTAATAGGCGTGGGAAGTCTCTTAGAATGATCATTTTTCATGAAGACCTCAAATCCTCAAATGTTTAAACTAGAAATATTTATTAACGGCACACAATATATCATATGTAACTAAAAAGAATGGCACACAGTTAACATGGAAAAGACGTACCTTGAGCTTTAATGAAGGCTTTAGCGTCAATCGCCTCATCAACCAAATTGCGAGTACGTTCAGCACAATCGGCCCAGTGCTTTTTGATTAAATCAAAGTGGTCAGAAGCCGCGTTTTGGAGCTGAGCGGAGGCGCCATTTTGTCGTGCTGACATCACGGCCCGACCGGCCATGCTCACTTGACTACCAACACTCTCGAGGTTAGAAGCGAGAGCTTGAAGAGCACTTCCACGCCATGGATCCACTAAATTGTTTGCAGCCAGACTTGCTGTTCGTTTCACACGTCTCGAATGTTCCTAAAATAGGGCACATCACAAAATCACAATTAAAGATAAATTAGAAGAGAACACCAAAAGGACGATTTCCACATAGCAGAGCGCTTTGCCCACAGCATCAGTGAAGGTATGTCCAAAGATACTCCCTGTCTCAGGTATATTGTAAATATATAAGATCTGAACAAAGGACGTAGGAATCATGCGAGAGAAAATCAAGTCTCGACAGCCTAATTTGTTGTGGTAATCACATTGTTGCACAAAAATGCGCACTTTCGCTACTGTCTGGGCGGTTCATCAAAGTTAATGAGAACACGACCAAATTCGCATGGCCAGGTAACAAGGGATTTTCAAACAAAAGTTAACCGGAGCTTAACCATCACCGCTAGCAAATTTAAGCGAGATAAACAACCAACATAAATTATGAAATTTCAAATTTAATAGACTGGAAGGCTAAGTTTATGCTCACCTTGACTGAATTGGAGTGAACTATGATGTGTAAAATGCCTTTTGGCTAGCATCAATACATTCAGGTCATGAAACTTGAGCTTTGGTAACCGTTAGTTTACGGCGTGCCAAAACTTACCTTTAAGTGGAAAGGATGCACAATAAATAAGGGCACATTTAAGTTCAACCCTTTACTCCCAGTTTCCACTTCTCTTCATGTGACTAACAATGTTATTCTTGGTTTCCAGTGGGCCAATAAAAACAATGTGCTGGTATTGAACACAAAATTGAGCATTCAATTATAGAATAACTTTGAATTTATTTCAGAATTTACCTAATGTAAAAATTGTGTTCTGTATGCTTAGATTAAACCATTTTGACATTGAATGTTAATAGAAATTCCGAATACTTTCGAATTTTTAATTAGACGGTACAATATTTTCCAAATTATGATAGGGGATTTCTATTTAAATATCGAGCTTTCAAAGAGGTGATGATGATGATGATGGTAAAATGGACACTTACAAGGAAGGTATCAGCCGCCTGTTGGTAAGCAGTTTCATCGACAGGAAGGGTGGAAGTAGCTTCCTGAAGATTTTTTATGGGACCGATGAGGTCTGTAAAGTAGTCGGCAACTTGTCGAACTAGTCCATGTTGCATATTATGCCACATTACATCCAGAGTTTGTACAGCTTCATAAGACAACTCCTGTTCACGTGTCCTCTGTGAGTCAGAAACTACGCAGAAAGTGAAAAAAAATAAAATAAAAAGTACAATTTCTTTACAGTCTTAATTTAAAGAATATTGAAATTAAATTTTGCAAATGATATTATTTTCTTCAAAATGAGTATTTTTGAAAAAAAATCGGCTGATTTTACCAACCACGAAGTCTAATTTCATCTTCTATGAAACGATTTAAAGCAAGCAGAAGGTGTGTTGGCAATTATTGAAAATTTGGCCTCTACCAAAAGCATGGCTGAAATAGGCAGAGCTCAGGAAGAGAAACTCAACGACTTTGCACTGAGGAATAGGAAAGACAAAAAAGACTTATCTGGTTGTTTAAAAAAACGACAAAACAGACCGGCCCCTGGATTGTGCACTATTTAGAAACCTTACCAGATTAAACGAAATTAAGGTTGAGGCTGATTCCGCAAAAAATTTAAATCACTCCCCAGTTCCCCTAAAGAGTGCCGCTACCACCAACATATTCGAATAATAGACTAATTCGGCTTAATAATTAAATAATAGAAAATTTTTTTAATCGGCCTTCAGTTTTACTTAAAAATGCTATTAACACTTTAACGCCCGAATTATTTTTTGAAAAAAGAGGCACCCAACTGCACTCACGCGTGTATCACAGCAGAATGATGCCGCCGACGTGAGGAAGTTTTGGTGGTGCATCAGGCGAAGACTATAGACACGTTTTGAACACGTCACTAACGGTGGTGCATCAGACACGCATTGAACATGTTTCAAAGGGCAATAGCGCCTTCTGCTACGAGTCTATTACTAATGGAGATTATTTTGAAAGAGGACCATACGGCCCAATAAGGGCGTAAAAGGGTTAAAGAAGTGTGATGCGAACATGGAAAGTGATATTATTAAATACATACGCCTTTAGAGCAAATACATACCATATAAACGGGACTTGTCAATAATAACTCTTACGGTTTCTAACTTCGTGGAGTAAGTATGAGACTAGGAATGTGTTATTGAATTAACTTACAGTTGACCCATTTTCGTAGCTTAAGGTAGGATCTAACTGGGATATCCACACTATTAAGCTGCGACCCGCGAAGCCTGTGATAAGCAAACCTTATCAACTAAAACCAATACTATCAGCTTCAATACGCTCCAGAACTACTGATCAGTAGGAAAAAAGTAGAGCTTTCGGGTCTAGTTTACTTAAGCTTTAACAGGAGGGAGATATTTGGAGCATACGCTTCATGTCACGTAAATGCATGAATGGTAAGAAACTTGTCAATTCAAGGTACCAAAGTCTAAAGTACAATGTGTCTTATATAAATATTTCATAATAGCTGTGGTTCTTCGCATATATATATATATATATATATATATAATGTTGTTCAATGACATTTGGTAAAAATAAAAGTGAAAGGAATATTTGGGTGAAAAATACAATCTTACCAAGCGGTTTATCCAACATAGTGTACAGTTGATCTGTTTGAGTTCGAAGTCGTTTACATGATTCCGCAAATTCTAGATTCTGAAGGCCTTCTTCCTCAGCTTCAGTGTGGAGGATCTGTTGAGCTTGAGCAAGAAGAGCCCTAGCTGCTTCATAGCCAACTTGTCGCTGAGGGCCACGGGGTTCAAGGAGCCATCGTCGTGCCTGTGTCGCCTTACCCTCCAGAGTTCGTGCTAGACGATAGATGGCATTCTGATGCTCCGTCCTCTCGCATAGAGCTCGGCATAATTCCAATAGACGCGCCAGGTCTCCACGACATGCTTCAGCTATATTTTTGGCAACCGCCTCATCGCCCTGAAAGTAAAGTATACGAAATTTACCAACTGTTGTACAAATTCGATAATCCATAAATTTGCCCAGTTTGATTGTCTTTAGTGACTTGCAGCTAAGTATTACATAATAACATTTTTATGGCCATCTGAGTTTCACTTTCGCCAATTATTCTCATTCAAATTTAACTGTCCAATGTACCTACCTCTTAATTTTCACTTGCTAAAGGAAATTACATCTTGTTAGACCTTATGGAAGATCATTCGCCTTCTAAGTCAAGCTTGATCGCACGTTAAGGTCGCTTTACTTTCGACATTAGAGGTACTTTACATGCTTCAGCATTCGACATTATGAAGTGACCTTTAGGTTCTAATACATCATTTACTTTTGGATTGGATTAAGAGAAGTTCATACCGAAAGACCTTTAGGGATGATAGTTTCGATCTAGATTGGCAATTTATCATGAAATTAATCAGGAATAGAACCACGAAAGATATGATAGATATTTGCAGAAGTGATATCCTCTAACGGCTACCGGTTGAACCATATAAGGATTAAGAATTCGAAGTTAATCAAATTATTTAATTTATTAAAATAAACACTAGGTAAACGAAACGGATAGATCACAAGTAGTTTGCATAATAAATTTTATATGATCGATGGACATGTCGATTTAAAAACCATTTCCCTGAAATAAATTGAGATGTCCAAATATTCGGGGCAATCCGAACACAATGTGAAATTTTGAGACCAGTTATTTCAGTAAAAAAACAGCGGTACACATATTTTAATGAAGTAATTGTTTACATCTATACAATGACGTCAAAAACAGCAATGTAAAACCCAAGTCCAAAGATGGTTCTTCATAACAGAATTCTGAGTGTTTGAAAAAATTGCAAGAGAATGTTTATGTAAGCTCAATTTTTCAATGAAACTCATATTACAAGTATTGCACTAATGTTAGTTCTTACAAAGTTATTAAAAAATACGAATTCCATCTTTTGAAAATCGGGCGTTACTTTTGAAACGCTCACTTATTGAAGCGCAAAATATTTCATAATTCACAAACACAGAAAGTCGTTTTCTCCGTTATTCGGAATGACAAAAATATTAAAGCTTCCCTCACACATTTAAGTTAACAATTCTTCAACAAAGTGATTACTACTTTTAAAAATAATGACTTTCAGAAACTTTGTATGCAATTGGTGAAGCAGTGATGGGAAAACTTTTAAATGCACAATTGAAGTGAAAAAGTTCTCGTACAAAGTAGGTTCATAAAACAGGAGAACAAACCATAAGATACCAGCTTGAGAAACGACCTCGTTGTATTGTTTGCATTTCTCAGTGTACCCGTGTTACAAATGACCTTGGAAATGGTAATTTAAGGTAGTATTTTTTTGGTAATTTTACCGGCATATTGTCGGATAATTTGTGCTAAATCAAGTTGTTTAAGCCTACATCCTAATTTTAATTTGAAGTGATGCTTAAATTTATGCTCAGTGGAAATTATAAGCAACAGGCTCATGAAAAAATGGTTGTACACAAAAGATCTTTTAAATTTCAAAAAAAAAACATTTTTTTAGATATATATATATACATATATGTATATGAATTAAATAGTCAACGCAATCACAATACCAAGGAATCTACTCAGCCAAAAGAAAAGTGCATTTAAAAACCTAAACGTAACCTTTAAGACCGATAAAGTGCTTTCTATTAAACTTGCCCAAACTTTATGCCTCACAGTCAAGTTAAATGGATAAGGTAGTAAAATGTTCAAAGTCCAAGAAAACAAAGCAAATTCCAGAAATTGTTTTAGCCAATAAATCACCTTACCCATGGAATAAAAGTATGCATCCAATTGGGCTTAGTGAGAAAAGAAATTAATTTCGGGACTAGGAAATCAAAAACAGGTAGTAAACTAAAGGAATGGAAGGAATATTGAGAGTGCCAATTCCTTGTTTTGACCAGCCATAAAGACCGAGGAAATTAGGGCTTGGAGGACTCCGTGAGAGTTGTATATTGATCAATTTAATTTGACTACCCCAATGCTTCAAGCATTTAACCAGTAAACTGAAATGCGAACTTGTCTTGATGCAGAGTTTACAAAGAAGTGTTAGATAATGGATAAAGTGCTTCAAGGCCGACGGATGAGTCATTCACCCAGTTACGCGGATAAAAAATGTTAAGCCAATCACAACTGCAGATAAGGTGAAGAATAACAGAATAAGGAGACTAAAGTCTTATCTACTTGGCATTGTCAGGCACACTAATTCCATGAAGTCACACATAAAAGGAAAAATTTAGCACATTATATGGCAAAGATAACTTCTAAATGCCATTGGACAAATGAACGGATTGAACATTTGGCACACACTAAGTAATATGGAAAGAAAAGACTTTACCCGCGTCTTTGTATATAAAGTCAACAATATATATATATATATATATATATATATATATATATATATATATATATATATATATATATATGTATATAGATATATATATGTTAAACACTATAGCAATAAAGTTCAAGATACAGACAACTGCGAAAATCGGCATTGTCAACAAATAATGGACCTATAATGCGGAAGCTCCACCTTTAAATAAGCAGATTATGTGAAAATCGCCAAACTCAGTATATGATAAAAACGAGAGCCATTAACACCCTCCCCCCTCCAATTTGACAAAGTTGAACAGAAGTCTGGACTTTTAAGTACTTTGGTAAATAAACTGGCTTAAGTAAGGGTGTTTACAATCATACTGACATTCTTTTAAACTCTTAATGGCCACCCATTCTAATTATACATGTGATGGTCATCTGACGCTCTCGAATAAGAATGGGATAACATCGATAGTGTTAGGTGCTTTTCGTGATTTTATCATTGGCTAATTGACCTCGGCTGAATAAGCTTGTGATTTACTTTGTGTGTACTGGCTTTTAAGAAGCTAGTACGAGAAGTTGGCAATCGATATGTCCGTTATTGAGTCTTTTTTTCATTATTAATAATACCCATTTCAGGTTCCAAATTCGAATCTCTTTTAAAGTAATTGTGATATGTTGAAGTTTTTTATTTGTTGGTTCCACAATAAATGAATAAATTTGCGATATTGTCCATTGTACTACTCCATGTTTCGGCTTGGATTCTTCTAAGTTGGTCTTTTGCACTCCAGACGATGTCCCTTTACAAACTTGTACTTATATTTTATTGATTATTGATCGTGTAACAAAATACCAAAGCGTCTTCACATAAAATCTTCCATCACAGTTCGTGTCCTCACCTCTTTTTATTTGGTGCATCCAAGTCTTCATGACCTTAATCTAATGAACTGGTTTCTACGTTTCTATGCCCAAACGTGCACGCGCAAAATCCTCCGTGATTCAGCTTACTTTTTTTGAAAATTTTTGATTCACTGTAATACTGAACATCAGCCTTTTGTCGTTCTTAAAACTCTGTCAAAATTCTTAGAGTTGTTTGATTATTCTCGAGTAAATGGACTCATGCATCGGAATACTTTATGCAAATTATTGGAATAGTCTCAAACCGTGGCTACCACTTTTTTCGCGAATTACTACTTCCACTAATTTTGTCAAGTGTGCAAGTCCATCTTGATAAATCACAGAGGTCAATCAATTTTACCTGACTGAGGGTAGGTTGCGTATGCCCTTTATCCGGTAAGGATCACTTATCAGTACATTCACTTCCAATCCCAGCTCTCACTCTAGTGCAAGTTCTTCCATCTTGTGCAATGTGAAAGCGTGGATCCATTTGAAATGACTCAATAACGGACATATCGATTGCCAACTTCTCGTACTAGCTTCTTAAAAGCCAGTACACACAAAGTAAATCACAAGCTTATTCAGCCGAGGTCAATTAGCCAATGATAAAATCACGAAAAGCACCTAACACTATCGATGTTATCCCATTCTTATTCGAGAGCGTCAGATGACCATCACATGTATAATTAGAATGGGTGGCCATTAAGAGTTTAAAAGAATGTCAGTATGATTGTAAACACCCTTACTTAAGCCAGTTTATTTACCAAAGTACTTAAAAGTCCAGACTTCTGTTCAACTTTGTCAAATTGGAGGGGGGAGGGTGTTAATGGCTCTCGTTTTTATCATATACTGAGTTTGGCGATTTTCACATAATCTGCTTATTTAAAGGTGGAGCTTCCGCATTATAGGTCCATTATTTGTTGACAATGCCGATTTTCGCAGTTGTCTGTATCTTGAACTTTATTGCTATAGTGTTGATTTACATGTATTGGTAATAAATAAATTTATTAAGTAGTCCAGGTTCGAAAACCAAATGGGTATAACGGTGATAGAGAAGGAAAAATGTTTTCATTAATTGATCTTAAATTCAACGGAGTCGCATTGGAGTTGTCAGGACAAAGAGAAGTTAAAACTCGGAATGTTGCAAGCATATGGAGAAATTGTTCAAATTAGTTGACAAAAAGTTTATCGTTCAATTTCCTCTTTTTACTTTATTTGATTTTTTGGATTGATAGTTGTAACTTGTTTAATTTAAAATTTACCATTTAGTCCTAAATTTAATTAGGACACAATATTAGAAAGAGCAGTATGTCATCAATAATTTTGCTCTTTAACTATTGGTAGTAAAATGCCATATGAGGAAATCAATTTGTTTTATTATGGCTAAAATGACAGGTATGATTTGATTGTGGATCTGGCAGTTGGAAACAATCTGGAACAACGAGATAAAGGAATAAATTTATTCTTTAGATTTTGTGTCAAATATGTTGGGCATTTTATATTATTAAAATTGGTATTGAATACACATCTAAATATTTCAGGTTATCTCGTTAAAAATAAACTAACACAACAACAATTACTATATATGTCGAAGAACCAGGCAAAGAAATATCGAAATCTCCCTTTGATCCAATAAATTTTCTACCTCTCTGGCTCATTCTAATAGCCACTGGACTTGATGTCATTACTTAGGAAAGAGGGAGCTCATTCACTACGAAATGTGTTTGAAATTATTATTATACCAAACATAAAATAATTTAGACTGTTATAAAAACCATCTTCTTAGATGCCATTCCATGTTTGTTCTAAACCAAAAATCCATTTACCTTTGAAATGATCACAGTAAATGTAAAGATGCGAAATTCCTGCAGACATCAGCCACAAAAACCCCGTTCGCTAAGAGCTACATAACTCCAGGCCTATAGTTGGGCATTTTATGCCAGCCTGCAAGGACAAGTTTGGCTAGGTGAAAGGCGTCATTGAAAAATAATAAGAACTGGCAGAATATGTAACATTGCAGTAATTCCCTCTTTCGGAGAAGAAGAAGAAGAAGAAGGCGATGAAGCAGAAAAAGCCCAAACCATAGAAACGATTTGAATGCAAGTAGGCGTATGGAAATAATATGAAATTATCATCTTAAGGTGATAGGGATTTCGCTTTCTTCCCAACTTAGGTCTCACTGCTGGTGAAATGCTTTGGTGCAATAATCCACTATCTCAATTTGAGCATTAATTAGTCCTATTTCACGCCACTGTGTTCTGGCGGCCATGACTAATTTCGTTGCCTAGTGAATTGGTCTGCATTCGAATCTCCGACCTCTGCTACATGGCCATTTTTCAATTTACTGGCTACAATGTTGACGCCATCGTTATGTTCCACCATAACACGAATACCTATTCACCGCCTCTGGCTTATTCCATTTGTGGCAGTAAAGGTAATTACAGCCCGACGACCTGCCTTGGTGACTCTCGACGTATATCCTCCTTCCAACACGATTATGGACAAAATAAGAGAGCACATTATTTCTATTTTTAACTTGACAACCGAGCATCCATTCAACCGAAGATACCGATGATAAGAAAGCTACATTGTTATGGTCATTAAATCACGCAAATGAAACAAACCACAAAATTTTAAAACAAAGAATTATTGGAGGCGATATAGCCCCCCCCCCCTCCATATCGGATGCGCAAACCCCCCAGGATGCAGTTCTGGATAGTGGAAGTTTGACAAGTGCGCCCGCGTTAGTGGACACACATACACACCACATTGTTGCGAAATTGATACAAAGAGACAATACAGCACTAGCAACACCAGCCTGACTACGGAGACACGTCTTATAATAGAATGGACTGGAGGAAAAATAATGTCGTGCGCACCCTTAATACAAAGCGATGTGTCACTGCAACTGGCCAAAGTCTCGGACAGTCACAAAGAAGAAGTGTGTGGGGGAGGGGGAGGGGAGGGGGAGGAAGCGCTGATTTATGTCCTCTGTGTACACGCGAGAAATCACATTCATGAATTCTCACAAGCATCGGCTGAATGGAAAAACGAG